TAAAAAATATGTAATAGAAATACAAGTCATTAACAGTACATAAAACAAAATAAACCAAAATGAAACAAACAACAACAAACAAGAAAACAACAAAAGTGTTTAGAGTGTCGGAGGACGTAAAACTGAAAACAGAACTATTCTGAAGTGACGTAACCGCTTGTCATAATTAATTCTTCTCAGTCGTCCGGATGGCCAAGGCGATGGGCATGAGTACTTGGGCCGTTCTGCGAGACCAGCGGTTCTCATCAGGAGATCAGCAGTGCTCCCACGTAGATCACGTTAGGTTAGAACCTGTTCTTATTATATTATGTTTTTATTCTGCCATTCTCCCGTTTTCTCTTTTATTTTTGAGTCGATGTTATTTCACTTATTTTCAGCAGCAGATTATCTATGCCATTACTTACATTAATTCAATACAGATTTGAATTTTTTGTATGCTTTTCATTTTATTGCTCATATTATTATTTTGATTTATTCTTTTCAAAACATTTAGCTGTCCTATTTTCAAACACGAGCGCCGTAGACCAGCGAGGTACATTCAAATCATTGTGACAAAGTGTTTGAACGTTGTATACTATCTGTTTCTTTCCCATTTCTGTTTAACTTACGTTTCCTCGTTGGCTTTTATTGTGATATATATAAACAAACAAAAACGTATAAGCTTTAAGATAAGATAATACAAGATAAGATAACACTTGATTATCCCAGAGAGAAATTTTTCTTGGCTGTACGGGACCGTGAAAACACATGCAGGTATACATAAACAATTTAAATTATGTATTACTTTCATTAAAATTCAGTATGAAAAGAGAAGTAAAGCTGATAAAATGTACATTCACATCAGATGCATCATTCAACCACATGCAGGAATTTAATTACAAGACTTTTGGAGTTATATATATATATATGAGTCTCATTCATGCCTGTAAAGATATATCTTTTTCCAATGTGAAGGGAGTTTAGTATATTCCTTTCAATACATGAAATTGTGAATTTCGTTTCACTTACCTCATTACAGACCCGTTTCTCGAATGGAGGAAGCCCTGAGGGAGGTAGATTACCTTGTGTCCTTGTTGCCATCAACTCCCGACACACGAGGACTGCTGTCTGGGGAGACTCTCAAAGCCTGCAGAAACAAGGCAAGTGGGGAAGCTGAACATTTCTTTTTTTTTATCATTAACGTCTTCACAGTCGTGGCCCACAGCCCACTAAGACTCTTTCCTTGTATTATAAAAGAGTCCTGGCAGTGAGAGGGTTAGGCGTTTCCATGTTAAATGTCTGGTTCTCTCAAAATGTGTAGATCAGAATAGAGAAATATATTAATATATTATTATTCTCCTGTATATAATAATAATAATAATAATAATAATAATAATAATAATAATAATAATAATAATAATAATATTATTAATACCAGACATAGGTGTCTGTGATGTAGCAGTTAAGTGCTTCGCTGTTGCATGCTGGGAACTGGGTTCGATTCCCAAGTAGAGAGTTTTTATTCAGAGTATACGAATTTATGCTGGGATGTTGCATCCGTCTTAGCCTGGGCTGCCATGTAGTAGTAGCCCTCCTCTTAAATTATCAAAATTTGTGTCGATGGGGGATTAATATTATGATTATGATGATGATTATTATTGTTTATAATATTATTATTGTTAATTTTATAATTAATATTGTTATTAAATTAATAATAATAATAATAATAATAATAATAATAATAATAATAATAATAATAATAATAATAATAATAATAATAATAATAACAATTGATATTATTGTTATCGTTATTTTAATTAAATTATATATTATAAATACCCCCACACACACATTTATATTATATTTTATCGTTCTGTTTCAGAAAACTGTTTTGATCAATCTGGGACGAGGAGACATCATAGATGACGAGAGTCTGATATATGCCCTGAAGTAAGATAGACTGGAAGATGTTTTATTATTGGAATAAACCTTGATGGAAAACTGGACGTCCATAATTCTGAAACTACTAAATAAATAATTGTTATTTAATATTTCATTTAATCTATTTATCTTGCCGGTTTCCTGGTTGCAAGAAAGGTCTGTAACTTCCCTTGGTCCTGGGATGTTTCAGGCCATCACCAAGTCATGATTACTATAACTACAACTTATTGTAACTAAATTGCTTTCATAATATCTCTTACTTCTGGACAGTAGATCTACGCCCATGTTTTTTGCCCTAAGAATTAGGAAGGCACTAATAGAAACATTTCTCGCTAATTTTACGTGAGCACTTATATAATGAGCTATGCGAATAACAAACGGTTACTTCAATACACGTACTTGTAAGGCTTACTAACATCTTTATGAGACAATATTCCATTTCCCTTACAAGTACATTATACATCATTAGTAGAGCTGCAGCAAACTTTCCCTAGATTGTATAAATGCATTTTGTATTTCATCTAACGTTAACAAAAGTATCTATTTTGAAACGTTCGTGCTTTAGCTTTCCCGGCTTTGCCGAAAAACGCTGTATCAAAAATTACATACAGATCATAGTCTTAGTCTTCTTGTTTTGTCTAAATGCAAAAAACCCACTAAAACATATTAAAGTCAAACACCAAACAAAATGTAAACAAACTCTCTTTAGACATAGCCTTTAGGATGAGAGAATGAGCAAACCTACAAACAATGTGTTTTCTCCATTCTTTTACTTTACTGATCCTTCTTTTCTTTCCCTTTCGCACTTTCACCCAAAAGACAGGGATGGATAGGCGGCGCCATTTTGGATGTCCACAACAAAGAACCGGTGCCTATCAACAGCCCTCTGTGGGGGATTCAGGGAGTGACGATCACCCCCCATGTAAGCTGTTCTACTACCGGCATTTCGGTGAGTTGGCCGTATATATATACAGATAGATAGATAGATAGATAGATAGATAGATAGATAGATAGATAGATAGATAGATAGATAGATAGATAGATAGAAATAGAGAGAAAGAAAGACAAAGATAAAAAGACCGAGAAAAAAGCGAGAAACAACGAGAGATAGACAGAGAGATAGAGACGACAGAATGAGAGAGAGAGAGAGAGAGAGAGAGAGAGAGAGAGAGAGAGAGAGAGAGAGAGAGGAAGGGAGGGAGAGACAGAGAGAGACAGAGACAGAGACAGAGAAGAGAAAGAGAGAGAGAGAGGGAGAGGGAGAGAGACCGGCAGACAGACAAACAGACAGACAGACAAACAGACAGAGAAAGACAGAGAAAGAGAGAGAGAGACAGAGACAGAGAGAGAGAGAGAGAGAGAAAGAGAGAAAGAGAGAGAAAGAGAGAGAGAGAGACTGTTTTATTTTTGTACACCCTCATTTACATGAATTCAGATTATTTAAGAGATGGTACACTTCTATAGCTGTGTTAACCAAGCTGGAAAATATGTTGTACAATCGAACAGAAATATAATTGAAGATACTCGATTTATGTCCCTTCTTTCGCCAGCAAATCAAAGAGCCTTTTGCAGACAGATAGATAGATAGATAGATAGATAGATAGATAGATAGATAGATAGATAGATAGATACATAGACAGATAGATAGATAGATAGATAGATAGATAGATAGATGGAATGATGGATGGATGGATGGATGGTAGACCACATTGAACATATCCACTAAGAAAATTTTTAAAAACCTCAGGTTTTTATAAAAAATGAAGACATATATATATATATATATATATATATATATATATATATATATATATATATATATATATATATATATATATATATATATATATATATACAAACGTGAAAATCGAGAATCAACAGTAACAGCACGATCTAGATTTTAAAAATTGTACCGTGATTATTAATCTGAGTGATGACAATTACCGATCTTGTCCCCAGATGTTGACTGATGCGTATATAGAAAACCTTCAGAAATATCTCCAGGGGAACGATCTCCGAAATCAAGTTGACCTCACCAAAGGATATTAACAGACTCCCACGTGACCTAAACAGGGCCTTTACTGCTAATAAATAATCTGAAATAGCTTTTTAAATAAAATAAACCGCACTCTTTGTTTATTTATGTTTATATAATTTATTCTCTCTCACCCCCATCAACCCTCTCTCTTTCTCCCTGTCTGTCTGTCTGTTTCTTCCTCTCTCTTTCTCCTTACTTCTCTCTCTTCTCTCTCTATATGCCCGGTTTCTCTCTTTCTCTCATCCTGTCTCTCTCTCTTTCACCCCTTTTCTTTTAGTTATGGATTTCCTTATTTCTATTGGTTACAGCTTTACTCATTGTTATTTTGATTCTCTGGACGTGTTTTCATGCTTCTGGTGCTCTCCTCTTTCTAATGAAAGAAAGAAAACGCACACACACACACACACACACACACACACACACACACACACACACACACACACACACACACAAACACCCATGTATACACACAGACAGACAGAGAGAGAGAGAGAGTGAGAATGAGAGAGAAAGAGAAAGAGACGGAGGGAGAGAGAGTGAGAGAGAGAGAGAGAGAGAGAGAGAGAGAGAGAGAGAGAGAGAGAGAGAGAGAGAGAGAGAGAGAGAGAGAGAGAGAGAGAGAGTAACTTTCATGTTCGGTCAAACATTTCTCTCCAAGCATGTTTGAATGTCTGCATAAACACACACGCGAAAAGAATTTACTAATTGAACCTTAACCCTTTACTTGTCATTCAATAATTTAACTTGACCTGAAATCGAGGCAACATGTTTAAGAAAACGAAATTACGTAAAAGACAACTCTTTCATCACAAATACTTAACAAAGGTATCGAAGAGTTCTTTCCCGTAACAGTAAGGCTGTAACACAGGCTGAAGAGGAATGCTTCTTTGCGAAGAATACGTATTTCTATGTGGAAACGTTTTCTGTCAAGTTTCAGATGATGATGATGATGATGATGATGATAGTGTTAATAACCATTGCCCCGATGCTAATGATAATGATGATTTTTTTTCGTTTCCTTAATGGGCCTGACGGACTTCACAAAGTAATCTTCGAGCGGGAGCGAGGCTCTTTTTCGGCTCCATTGTCAATATGCTTAGCGGCACCTCCACTCGTCCAAATAACTCCATTCGAATTGCCATTGTTCCTGGACATTCAAACATATGTTTGATATCCTCCTTTTCATGGCCGCATCTTCGGCAACATGGACTGAGCTCTTCATTTACAAAGTTCTTATACCATGTTAAATTCCAATGATGGTCCGACCGCAGTCTCGCTAGTTCAACCTGGTCCCAGCGACATGTGATAGATTTTTGTTCCCACTTATAGGAGTACCCAGAATACACATCTTCCAAGTGCTGGTACTTAGTTCTACATGGTGGGTCTCTGATTTCTCTCTTGATTATTGGAAAGACTCCTCTGTATGTCGTTGGTCGTCTGTCTCCTTCGATCTCTCTGGCTTTATTAGCAGCTTGGTCTGCTGCCTCATTTCCTTCTATTCCAACATGGCTTGGAATCCACTGAAATTTTATTGTAGCTGTGGCTTCACTGTACTTGTGGCGCAAATCATTCATGTCCGAACTGTTGCCCATCAGCCCCTTGCAGAGGGCTGACTGTCAGTCAAGATCAGCACATTGGTCCTACTGTGGCAATTGTCGGCAATCCATTGTGCAGCAGACATCATTGACTGGCATTCCTAGTCATAAGATGATGTAAGGAATAAACCTTTAGTTTAAATAATTTCTGTTCGTGGTGGTTCATCATTTATTATCACTACTGCTGCTGCTCCACCTTCGCGGTATCCTGCGACTGCCGATCCATCGATGAAAATTGTCACATCCGCACCAACCTCTTTGATCCCATCCTCAGCTGTTTCACGTGCCTTTAGCAGACCCACAAACCCCTAAAAACATTTTCAGCTTCCTGAGAACCATACAGTGCAATCTCTGCAAAGCCAGGTGTCGATTCCCACCTTGGGAAAAAGTTGTTCCCGCATCCGATCCGGACATTGGGGATTGCCTTGTTAGTGAGACAACTTCATGGGCCTTCGACATACTGTGGTAGGGTGGCCAGTTTCTTTCCACGCCGCCTTTACTTCCTCAACTCGAAGTCTGGTACCCATTACTACTGGGTGGGTAGGAGGGGCCGAAAAAAAAATCCGTATCCGAACAGAGGCTCGAACCGGGACTTTCTGCTTCGGAGACGAGCGCACTAACCGCTCCGTCGCCACACTCTGGGGAAGTGAGGAAAACTCCGGTAAAGGGCTCTTTTCCAAGGACACAAAGTCGGGACAAGATTCGAAAGAAACCACGACGTTACCGTTGCAAACCCGAGAACTAGGCCACTAACGTTATTTAATAAGTGAAAATCGAGCTCTCGTGCCTTGGTTGAAAGGTGAAGAAGAAGAGCGTAGCTGTTTTGTACCATATCTCTTGGGACTACAGGCTGATAAAAACAAAACAAAACAAAAGCTGTTCAACTTTTTTTCTGAATATCTAAAATAAAAATTTGGAGCAGACATAATTCATTCAAAAGGAATTTGTTTTAAATATAATCCACGAAGAAGAATTTTGTTTTGAAAACGGAAATGGCTTAAAGAAAAAGCACCCCAAAACGCAAATTTATCAGTTAAAAAAAATTCGTGTAAAGGAAGTTGTGAAAAGATTGCTTGACTTTTTTCTTTATTTTCTCTTTGACATTAAATTTCCATCCTTGTAACATTCAAACAATATTTAATTTCTTTTACATCGTTAAAAAAACTAACGATTTCAATCTTGAATTCCTATAGGCAGGGCTCTACATGCCTTCCTTTGGACTCGACACATTTGTAACTCATCGTTTGAAATGCACAATGGAGTCCAAACACAAGGACCTGCTAAACCAGGAGTGGTTAAACTCTCATACACAGTAAAAATTCAGTATGAAGCGACTTCTAAAGACCCTATGGAGTGGGGTGCCCAAATAGACAGCATTTTGGAGTTAACGTATCCCGCATGGTGAAAATGGGCTTTGCCCTAAACCAAATGTCATCGAGGAAAGGATCCCGCTTTTCAAGACAACCGAGGAATAATGAATAAATTGCCATGTCATCTTGGCCCAACGAAGATAAAAAAAATCAAACTGTCGTGGGTTAAGATCTGCCATGAGAATGCAGACTGTTGAGGAGTAGAAAAGTCCTAGCTGCAGATCGTCAATAGACAGACGTCTCATGGGACACTCGACTACTGAAATCAGCACCCTGGTGACGTTTAAAGGGCTGCACATGGTGCATGGTGGACCTGAAGAGATAATTTTTAAAGGAAATTTGTAGTTCTGCTTCGGTCTAGATCCAAAACTGAGAAAACTTTTATACTCATGACACAAAAGATCTTGAGGGCACCTAAGCATTCTTTCCATGCCGTACGCAGAACTTACGAAATGTCTGGGATGGTGAGTTTGTGGAGAGGTAATTTTCAATACAAAAAGCTCTCTGTTTTTTACTAAACTTAACCATGATCTCAGCAAACAAACGAAATTAGGGAAAAATAATATCTTCAGTTTTCTGTTGACTTGTTAGACTACTGTAGCTTGCGTTATGGCGCGATTGTTGCAACTTTCAGTGGTTGGCCTAGTACGAACTGGTGCGTCATGCTACGAGAACGGGGACAAGGTTGAAAATGTTTTTTTTTTAAATGCGCCATACAGAGAAAATCATTCAATGTGTTTATCTACAATGAATATCAGACAAATTACTTTTAACTTCCAAATATTACGTTCAAATCTGAAACACAAAACTTAAGTATGGAGGAAGATATTTACAAAACAAATTGTACAGGGTTTTTAAAAATCATCCTGTACTTCGTTGCAGTCCGTCTGCGACGTCCAACTACCCAAATTATGCCCAAATTTGTACTTTGTACTTTATGAAAAGGTCTACACTTAATGCTCTGAGAGACACACGCTGGAACATTTCTAGAACAAGTTTATTCTTCCTTGTGAAGTTTTAGTGACATATTTGCTGCAATTTGTATTTATTTATTTATTTTTTTTTTATTTGAAAAAGGTATGATAACTATGACAATCGGAGCAAGTTAAGAAGATTTATGTTTCTGAAATTTGACCGAAGTTTGATATTTCTAATAAATTTATTACTCTTTTGAAATCTGCAATGATTTGTTCCACTTTTTTTTACTACAATCCCAGGCACGCATGAATAATAGTTTTTCAATAATCCATTAAAATCAGTGATCAGTAATCAATCAATCAATTAATCAATCAATCTGTAAATCAATAGGTAACCAATACAGTTGTTCGGTTTTCTTTTCATTTATCTATACATTACTCCATTGCCCAACACATCTAAGCAATCATCACTCAATCATTGAATCAATGAGAAACGGTAGACAGAAGTCAAATAGGCTTGGGAAAATAATGATTGCTTTTAAACTAGACCTGTTAATTATAAAATAGCCACACATATTATGTTGCAGTATTCACACAACTTTTCTCACCACCCCCACCCCCCCCCATCTCTCTCTCTCTCTCTCTCTCTCTCTCTCTCTCTCTCTCTCTCTCTCTCTTTCTCTCTCTCTCTCTTTCTTTCTCACTTACTCTCACCCTCTTTCTCTCCCCTCTCTCTCTTTCTCTCTCTCTCTCTCTCTCTCACACACACACACACACACACACACACACTCACACACACACTCACACACACATACACACACACACACACACACACACACCCCTTTCACATTCCGCCATGAATGCCAACACACGCATACGCACCCAACGCCCCCCCCCCCCTCCCTTCCTTTCCGTCCAACCCACCTGCACAACTATGCAAAACAGTAAAAACGCAAAATGAAAAGTTTTTTTTTCTCTTTTCAAAGGCGAGCACCGAGCCTCACCTGCCACGGTCTGGGTGCTGCAGTGGGCCAGGAAATATGCCTGAACGTTTGTAAGCAAATCGATGTTGGGTTGGCCTCGGCTCAATGTTATGGTCGTGCAAGGGTGAGCGCAGAACACCGAATAAGAAAAACAGACAGAGGAATTACTCCGATCTTTTCACCTTAATCATGAGCCACCTCTTTGATTTGGCACAGAGCAAGTTTAGT